CAACCTTCACCGTGTCTTCATGATGCAGAAAGAAAGCCAGCCAACGAGTCCTGCCTTCAACTTGAAGAAGTTTCGTTTCCAAAGATCTCTGCTAAAGCTTCAAGCATTTGCACGACGTAGTGGTAAGCTCTTTGGTAATGGTTTAGCCTACAGTGATTTGCTGGTGTATTCTTACGACCTTTAACATGTTCTCCACAGACTCTACGTCGTTGCTTCTTCGATGGAAGATATACCTTCGCTGCCCTGGATTTATTAATGCAAAACCGAAAAGTTACTACTAATTCATTTGTAAATCATTGCAGGGCGAGGCCTAAGTCACCCTGCAGAGGTTTGACATATCCTAGAATGTTACAAAGGTCGCACGTCTAACCTAGCTTCGCCTACGCTAGCCTTCTCTGGTATTCATGTTAATTGTGCCCAATGGGATAACCCCAATGGGATGTCTATTTAGCAAAATTTGAGAGCATAACCCAGGGCTCTAACTTTTCTCCTCTACAAAAGCAGTGTTTTGTTTGATATGACATGGTGTTTTCCTTGCTCTATGATCATTGTGATTTCACATTCATACCATCTTTAACCCTAGAACACTATTGTGGGGTCCACCAGATCTCAAGCACTGAAACATTTGGCAGTGACTATTATCCCTCATTAGTGTTCTAACTAGGGTAAACATGGGTCACATTTTCCTAGTTTCTTCATTTCTCCTGAGAAGTTTCTGAACTTTTATCCCTTCATGTTGATTTAGTCCCAATTATCTTCCTGACCAAAATTGTGCTGATCTAGCTGTCTTTATTTATTTTCCTCTATTAACATCTCTATCCCATTGAGTATCCATTCTAAACTGTAGCTGCTTTTGATCCAAAAGGTTATCAGAAAGTCATTATAACCATACTTAACAAGTTATTGCTACACAGGCCTAATATGCATGGGATCCAACTCCTTGCATTTTGAATGTATACTTGTGAGAGTCTCTGACTATGCTGTCACCTTGAGGCTTGCAGAATGATGCATCATCATGATTTGACTGGACTTGTGCAATATTTGGGAGCAGAAACATGCTCTTGGCTGGGTTGTAATGACTTCAGGAGTTGAATGAATTTCGATCACATCCCATCATGTTTCCCTTCTAAGCTTTGAAGAGGCATAGTGATTGGCTAATATTTTCACAAAAAATTTGTTGAAGATATAATGCTAGATTATCTAGGTAATAAATGTATTAACAACTTAATATAGGAAGGAGTATGCACTTGGAGTATGTGCTTGGCAAAAGAAGATAAGGAATTTTAATAAGGTTTAGGATATGTTTAAGCAAACAGAGCAGATCTGGAAGGTGGAAAGACCCAGAACTCACTACCATGCCTTTGATCCCTGATGTTGCTATCAGCTGGCTAGGATGAAGATCATGAATTTCAGTTTTCATGCTTTTTATACAGGGTGGGCAATAAAAAAACAAAGCTATCATTTATGGTGAGTTGTCAATCTGAATGTAGGCTGCTGATTCTGATGAAATTTGGTAGGCCCATAGGGTGACTCAATTAGGGTTTGTGTGCCAAGTTTCAAGTAAAAATTCCAAAAACTGAGATTGGAATTTAATTTACTTTTCATGACCAAACCAAAGCAGAACACAAACAAAATGCACAAATGCCAAAAGTGGAAGTGCCCAATTTTGTTTAGGCAGGTTTATTTCAACTGAACAGATGCTCAATGTGCCCTCCATTCTGCTGAACACAAGCCTCTTGTCTGGGATGTGACGGACCAATTGCTAAATCAATAAATCTTTGAGGCAGTGCCTCCCAATCTTCCTCTATAGCATCATGCATGGATGGAAGGTCATGAATTCAGTCCTCCCTTTCATCTAGGCCTCAAGTTCATATTGATATTTTCAACAGCACATTTTGTCATGGGTCATCATAAAATAATTATAGCTCCTATCATTTTAGAGCCAGAAGGCTGAAATTTGGCATAAAAACTCCAATTGTGTCATCCTATAAGCCTACCAAACTTAATCTGAATCGGTAGCCTACAATGAGACTGACAACTCACTAAATATGAAAGCCTTGGTTTTTTTTTCCCACCCTGTGCAATACCCTGTGCAAAGATGTAATAGTAAAGGAAATTTTGTTCATTCCCATTTAGATGATGAATCTAAGAAAACAGATGAGTTGATGAATGGGTTTCACAGTCCAAATGGTAAGGGTGATACGCAAGATGGGGTAAGTGAACCTTCTGTGAGTAATGGAACCCCTCCTCCAAAAAAGCACAATCTGAAAGATCTGAAGAGCTTCAGAAAAGGAAGATTGAACATGAGAAACAGTCCCTCTTCCAAGTTTGAGTCTGAGTCAACTTCCATCATGAGCCCTGGTAGGTTTATGGATCTATCAGATATACCTACTTAATATAAAGAATGTAATATTCAGTCTTTTTTTTGTATTTAAGCATCTGACTCGGTTCGAACTGTACCAGAGACGCCAGAATTCCCACATGTGACAAAGCAAGAAGGGATCTTCCAGATGGATGACCAGGATTGTGATGGTTTAAGTCCAGAAAGTCCATTTTTCTGCAAGAAGGTGTGTAGTTCATAGCAACTTCATGCTCTTTTTCAGAATTGTTTGATAATTATTTATTAAAATCTCTTTTCTAGAAGCGCCGCATAATTTTTGAGAGTGATGGTGAATCTTCTGATGGTGAGAGGCCTGAGAAGAGTCCCACTTCTCACCTCACTTCGCATTACACAGTAAATGATGACAGTGGAGAAGAGAGGGATATAATTGCCAGAAAAGGCACAAAGAGAAAGCCTCTGTTGAGTGATAGTTCTGATGAGGAGGAGAGACATAAGGAGGTGAAAAAGACAAAACAGAGTAAGGACAATGAAAAAGTAGTCATCCCTGGAATTGTGTCCCATGATATGAATGTGGAAGAGGTGGAACGCCATCTGCAGTTCCTTGTAGGAGCCTTTCCCAGTGTTGATCCTCTAGTGAGAATTCTTTGCCAGAGATAATCATTTATGAGTTGTAATATCTTACAGATTTACTTCATGATTGTGTGAAACATTATTTTTAGATGATCCAAGATGTTTTGGTTAGCAACAAGTTTGATGTCAACAAAGCTGTACAGATGCTTGGTGTCAAGGAATCAAATGAAGAAGCTGCTAGGAATGAAGAATCTGATGAAGAAGAGGACAAAGGATGTCAAGGCAATGTCTATGACAGGTTTTAGCTCCTTCACCCTTTCTCTGGATCATGTTAAGTCCCTTTGGGCTCTTGGAGATTATATTCATTTTTTTAAATCTCTCCCAGTGATGACTCAGATGAAGAATCCAGAAATGTGGTAACAGGAGATCGGAGGAAGGTTCTTGAGTTTTTTCAGACAGCAACAGAAGCTGAACTGGCTCTGATGCCTCGTTGTTCAGAGAAAAAGGCACAACTCATAGTATCTCTAAGGCCTTTCAGTGACTGGCCTACTCTGGTACATCTGCTCTTCCTCACTTCACTTTACTTGCATATCTGGAATGACTGATCGTGAACATAAGACGCACTTAATTCATGCAACAGGTCAAGGTGCTGGAAGGTAACCATCAGCTGTCCACAGCCCTGCTGAATGGAGCTGAAACTGTTCTGCGCACCAGGGCTGTCCTGGAAAAATTGATGAATCGCTGTCAGGAGATGTCTGAACGTCTTCAGGTTAGAATTCATAGACTGTCTAATTCTAAGTTAATCAATCATGGTTGAAGTAATTTTATGAAAAAAAATTTCCACAGGGCTTGGTTGCAGAAATCCTTGAGAAAGACCAATTTGAAACAGCTTTCATGGAACAACCAAAACTTCTCAATCCCAAGTGAGTCCACATTGTCACATTCAATATCAGACTTATCTTAGAAGGCTTCTTACATGCTTTTCAATGGTTGAAATATATGTCTAAAGATTGAAACTGGCTCCATATCAATCTGTGGGGGTGAAGTGGCTGCAACTGATGGACCAGGAATGTGTGAATCCTATTCTGGCAGATGAGATGGGACTGGGGAAGACTGTTCAGTCAATTGCATTCCTTGCACACCTTGCATCCCTTGACAACTCTGGTCCTCATCTTGTTGTCGTACCTTCCTCAACACTTGGTTTGTGCTCACATATAGATATATTCAACAATGTCAATGCTTTTCAGTTTCAGGAATTCTCTTTTTTTATGCCTTGGATGACTATTTTATAGTTAAGCTTGGATTTATGCTGGGTTTCAATATCATAATCAATATCAATATCATACATGCTAACAGAAAACAAAAAAAAAGCAATTTACAGAGAGGAGACAATTGAAGAAAATCTGTTGTGCTATTTTGGCATGACAGAAACAGAGTAAATCTTGAATAGAAGCTTCTTTAGAAGAGACACAAAACACAATTTTGTGTGAAAGGAGGGGAAACATGAGCTCACTTTTGAGCTTCAACTATGACTTTTATCAGAAGATTTTGTGCGAGATCAGGGGTTCTGAGTCTCGCAGCTTGTCATCCTGCCTGCATGTAAATAGGAGCAAATAAAAATTTTTTGTCTCTCTCTCCACTTTCAGCCCCAATAGGCTTCCTATTTCTGATTTACCAATTCACTATCAGTATGTCTCCCAGACCAATGTTTCCTAATTTTAAGCTCAAACTGGGTTTGACTGGAAACTTGATTTTCTCTTGTCACACCAGGATTCAAAATCACCCAACAACTTTTTAAGTGTCTCTGATTTTTTAATACTTTCATTTGATACACTTGAAATGTCCAAAGCTTTTGACATCTTCACAACTGATTTTTTGAGTGTTGAATTGTTGTTCATGTGCATTTTCAGAGCAATTGCTGAGGCTTTTCATATGTATACATATTTTCTTATGAACTGACAGATAACATAGAGTGCAGAAAAGTGGCTGCTTTTGGCAGTTTCATGCTTTCAAGTAAATGTGTTCCACCCAAAAAATGTAATAGATGCAAAAAAAAAGTCTTAGTTTAGTGTTGAGACTCACATTGATCATAGGAAACATCTAAGCTCAGTTGTCTTAGCTTGAACATATTGCAAGAAGATGGGAAAAAATTGTTAAAAGAAAATAAAAACAATGTTGGGCATCTTCAATTGGCCTAGTTGGAAGTGTTGAGGATGTTGGATTGATTGGATTATGCAGACAACTGGTTGAAGGAATTCCATGCATGGTGCCCTGAGCTCAAAGTCCTCGTGTTTCATGGAACCCAGCAGGAAAGAATGAGGTTGAAGATGGAGATTGTGAACCACAATCTTATGGAATCCCATGATATCTTTCTCACTACGTAAGAAGAATATGCATTCTTATCTTTATCCAAAGTACTTGCTCAAGGTTCAATCACAATAGTGTCTAGTACCATTTTCATCTGTCAGGTATTCAATGGTGGCAAGCAAAGAAAACCGGGTCCTATGGAAGACCCTGCAGTTCCATTATGCTGTGTTTGATGAGGCTCACATGCTGAAAAATATTACCACCCAGAGATCTGAGCAGGTCATGAAGATCCAGGTGTGATTTGCATCCCTTCTTTTTCTGTCAATCTTTGGAGGGATCGGCATTGCATATATTTTAATTACCCAAAATTATTGCAGGCAGAGCGCCGTTTGCTGCTGACAGGGACCCCACTCCAGAACAACCTAGTAGAACTCATCTCCCTTCTGATGTTTGTAATGCCAAATATGTTCTCAGGAAAGAGGCAGCTCCTTGTTGATGCTTTCAATTTACTTCCAGTATGCCAATATGTTTCTCTATAAGTTATCTGGAGATTTTCTCTTGAGAGTAATTTTCTGTATCTATGTATTTAGAAAGTGGAAGAGAATGAGAAAATACCAGAGACAGAAGTGAAAAGAAGGAAAGAGTATGAATGGAACCGAATCCTGCAGGCAAAGCAGATCATGCAACCATTCTTCCTGCGCCGAGAAAAAGCTGAGGTTCTTGGCCAGCTCCCTTCCAAGACTGTTGAGGTTCAAAACTGCCCCATGACAGAGAGGCAGGGCCAACTCTACCGCAAAACACTGCTGACCATCTCAAAGGAGGCAAGAAAAATATTGAGTAGGAAACTGCATGACACCAGTGTAAGACAAGTAGACTGCAGTCTGGATTCAGCCTACCACAAAATTTTGCTACACCAAGGGGAAAATGTTATATATTTTTTTTTCTCCATATAACAAACCTGACCTGAATTTAATCATAAGTTAAAATTTTATTTGAAATCTACTTGAATAGGTGAAGGGTTTTTCATCTGCATAGGACCAAGCAGCCATGCAATTATTAGGTTGTTTCACATGAAATGTCCGATTCTTCTCTATACAGGCAGTCCTCGACTTACGACATTTTGACTTAGGATGCTCTAAGCCTAGGGCTGAAGGAGTCATTGACATGTAGGCCTGATGCCTCCCCCGTATTACCGTCATATGTCGAGGACTGCCTGTACAATATGTCTTCAAAAGAATTGAGACTACTTTTTTTTTATGAGTTCAAATCGGGGCACAACGCAGCTGTAGCCGCGAGTAACATCGACTTGGCGTTCGGGAAAGGGACTGCTAACCAGCGGACTATTCGGCGGTGGTTCGAAAAATTTCGATCTGGAGACATGAATCTCGGAAATGAGCCCCGAGGAAGGCCTGAATCTGTTGTGAATGAAGNCATTGGGAGAAGACAATTCAAGCTAATGGAGCATATTTTGATTAAATGAAATTTTATTTGTTAAAAATATAGCCTTTTAAATCTCATCTTCAAAATCGGACATTTCATGTGAAACAACCTAATACAAAGGCTCATCTTTCCTAGAACCTTCATATTTCTTTTTTTTCTCTCAATCTTTTTTCTAGTATTTTCTGAGTCATCAGTCAGATTTTTTTGCTGACAGGAGCTTTCAGGCTTCTTGCCATCTATGAATTCCATACTCATTGACCCAGTGAAGACATCTGAAAAGCCTGCTTAATTACAAGCATGGCTGTGAATGAGAGAACCAAGAAGGGAATCACAGCCATTAACCTTGGAAGCATCAGGGTGTTTTTACAGGCCATCATTTACATTAATTGTGCTCTGCTACTGGATGGTATCTACTACCTTAAATAGGTTTGGGATTCTTTATTTTCAGGGTGTTGCAGGGAAACAGAATGGGATTGCTCAGTTAATGCGACTCCGAAGAGCAGCTAATCACCCTTTGCTACTTCGGACCCATTACAGTGATGATAAAGTGCGAGAACTGGCCCATTCACTCATCCGTCTGCCTGAATATTCTAAAATAAGCCTACCAAAGCTGCAAGAGGAGCTTCTTAAATTCTCAGACTTTCAGCTTCATCAGACCCTCTCTTTGGACCCTGTGAGTCTTCCTCTGACTTAAAGATGTTGTCATTGCCATTTTCATTGTACATTTGCGACTGATAATGTTATTTTCCATGTCAGTTGCTGTCAAAACATTGCTTGCATGATGAGGAAATGCTGGAGAGTGGGAAGTTTCAGATGCTGGATTCTTTATTGCCTGAAATGAAAGTGCGGGGTGACCGTGTCCTCCTCTTTTCCCAATTCACTATGTTATTGGATGTTGCTGAAGAGTATCTTCGTATCCGGAATCATTCATACCTCCGACTGGATGGAAGCACACTTGTGTCAAACAGGTATCTTTTTATCTTCATAACTTTTGTTTACTCATAATGCAGATGCTTTCATGAACATCCCTTCTACAGGGTGATCCCCAAAAAAAAGGAAGTTCTTATCCCTAGACATCATTGTAATGCATAGCAGTGGCATGTATGGTACAAAAGCATTTTTCTGAATGAAAGTTGATTTCTCTTTTCTTATCAAAAAGATAATTCCAATAAATCCTCTATTCTAGTCAATGGTGGCCAGCTATTGAGCATGCCACTGCTACAAGCCAAGAGGCACAGCTTGCTGACAATTGACTGTTGCCTATTTTAAATCTTCATTGCTCCATATTTGGTCTTGGTAGAAATTTTCTTGCAATATACCCCATGCAAAGTGATCAGCAGTCTCAATTGGGGCGGTTGGGTGACCACTTGTGAAATTCTGGCCCTTTCCTTTGTAGGAAGTCTACAATAGCCCAGAGTCACATAGTTTTGGAAGATGATGTTTTCAGCTGATATTTTGTGGATGTCTGGCAAAAGATGCTACAACAGTTTTCAAACAGAATGCAGGTCTTTCTTCTTTTTTTCTTTTCCTTTTTTTGCCTGTTGCCAGAAAAGTTAAACAAAAATAAAATCTGGAGAGGTGAAGATATGAATACAGTAACAGTAGATTCTTGGCAAGCAATGCTCCACATGTTAAAGTGCACAATTTGATGGTGTGTGCAATTCTACAGCACCATTGCATGGTAAGGAGCATGTATCAAGTATTTATAGTGAATGACAAATCAGATTTATATATCGCCCATAACTTTTTTCTTTGATAGCTACAGTTTACATTCATTATTATTACAAATAAAGGTAGGGGCTTCCTTTTCACAGGGCCATTCTGTAGTAGAGGAACTTACTAATCCATACTAGGAGTTGCATTAAAATTCCCCTTTCACACATCCCTGAAGTTGAACTTCCCTTCTGATGATAAAGGATATCAAAGCAATCATCCTATTAAGTGACTCCTATGCATAGGTGTGGTATTCATGGAAGATTTTGTTATCATCCAGGCAGGGACTGATAGAGGAGTACAACTCCAATCCGAAAATCTTTGTATTCCTCCTGTCAACTAAGGCAGGTGGCCTTGGGATCAATTTGACCGCAGCCAATGTTGTGATCCTTCATGACCTAGACTTTAACCCTTACAACGATCGTCAGGCAGAGGATCGTTGCCATCGTATTGGTCAGACAAGGGAGGTACGTGTGATCAAGCTTGTCAGTGAAAACACTGTTGAAGAAGGTATTCTTCGTGTAGCTCAGAGCAAACTGAAACTGGAACGAGATCTCCAGGAGACAACTGCAGATACAGAAGATAGTTCTGACCTTCTTGGTCTCTTGAAGGAAGCCTTGGATAGACTCCCCAAAGGCCAGAGTCATCTGACATGACCCTGGACGCAGCTCCTAAACTGCCTTTATCCTGCATGTGATTTTTTCTTGTGATGGTTTTCATGAGCCCTCTTGTATTGTCTGCTGTTTCATATTTCTTCCTTTTTTTTCATTGATTGGGAAACATGGAAAACATGATTTGGAGACATTTTTGTGTTTTTATTCTCACATGCATCAATTAATCGATATTAATAGTCATCTTGCCCCAAATCTGGAGTTACTTTTCACACTCTAGCTGTAAGAGGAGCTGAGTATCCAGATCATGTGAGAGGTGCCAGGTCACATGGGAATATTTTTTTACCCTAGACTTATTTTCCTTATGGTATACTGATCCTCAACATTTTTTTTTAACTTCACAGATATCTTGATTTGTTAGGAGTTTCATGGAGTTGAGTGACATGTGTTCTTGACCTTTGCTCTTAAGTCAATAAATAAAAAAAATCGAATCAGCATGGACAAAAACAGAGCATGATTTAGTATTTTTGGTGCCATGACTTGACACCTGGCCAGAGTCATGCAGTGATGATATTAGAGGATGCTATCTTGAGAATCATTCACAACCAATTACGCAGTTGCCCCTTCGAGAGAATAAATTTTAAGAACGAAAGGTTCACATCTATATATTTAGTACTAGCGAGTTTGTTTGCCCTCCGGGCCCTCACTGCGCTGCGAGGTGCAACGGAAATTTTATTTTGTAACATGGAGTCCCTCTACAACTTTGTACTGACCCCCCAAAATTATGACTCCTTTGGGGTGTCTGTTGTAGTGAATCGGCCAAATATGTACTAAATAAGGTACCCCAGTGGGTCAGAATTTTGAAACGCCACCTAACCTATGACCATCCCCGCACCAAATGAGGAAGCCATGCAAAGTCTGGTCGGACTGGGATCCGAGGCGTGGCCGTGCACAAAGGACAGACGCACACAAACATTCTGAAATATGATAGTGTAGATAATGAATTCGATGCTGCTTGAGCTATCTTAGAATACGATCCACAAACCATCATCTTCGCACGAAGCTTAGCGTGGACATAACATCTTGGATATTCAAAACTAAGGTTCTTTGATGGGCTCCAAGAGTTCTTCGCGCTCTATTATTACCCATGACAAATGAGTGACGTCATTTGAGGTTTAGAACGCATTATTCGGTTCAGGAAATTCTTGCTTTACCAATCATCTGGATGAAACCTTTGGAGTAGAGGAAGTCATCACATGAAAACTCATATTGTGAGCGTCTCTTAAGTCAGGCTGGTGCCGTTCCTTTTCGTTTGTTCGGTGTCCGTTCTACCATCACTTCGAATTACGTATCTTCTGTCATTCGATATGAAATAGATGAGATTTTGATATGAAGTATAAGTGAAGCGATAGATTTGAACAGACGCGTTGTTATTTTGCCGCGCTCTTTCTTTTTTTCAGAATATGTAGGTTTTATGTAAAGCTTTTTCTTCCCAGTCCTGCATTATAAATGACTTTAAAATGCTTTCTCTGTTTACTTCCCGAAGATTCAGTCATAAGATAGAAGAATCCGCAAATTATTTTTATCTGGTTGTCCTTTTTTCGGTTGATATATTTGCTTCGATGGAAAGGCATGTTTCAAGGGAATGACATCCTACGCATATTAACCGAAATAAAATTAGTTTTATGCACCACATCAGTTTAGTTTAGAATTATTTGATTTCATGATAAGTTGCTATGGAATCTTTAAATCTGATAAATGTGAATTCCGTTTGAACCTCCGATAAGGTCTGCTGCGCTGCTCGCAGTTGCTTGGCTGTTTATACTTTGCCTACTCTTTGGAGAAGTTCGTTCCGTGTTTATGTATGGATTTCTGGCTTTAATTTTAGGGTTCCTAATCGGTCGATCTTATGCTATTTAATGGATTAACCGAATTTGTATCGGTTAGTTCGTTAATTTGTTTGTTTCCTTTCTGAATGAGACGAACGAAATGAAAGCTTTTTTCCTTCACTCGTGGTTCTCGTTTCTCTTCCCAGTGTTTCAGCAGCGTTGACTTTCTTTTCTTTGTAGTGGCGTAGCGAAGGGGGAGGGGAGGGAGGGGGCTTCAGCCCTCCCAAGTTTGGTTCAAGCCCCCCCAACTCTGATCTGAAATGCATTCTTCCCCTCTCCCCTCGCCGAGGAGAAGTAAGGGAAATTCCCCCCCTTGACGAAATCCTGGTTACGACTCTTTTTTTTCTTTGTTTCCTGTAAAAAAAAAAAAAAAGAAAGAAAAATACCTTTTTCATTGCTGGAAAGTGATCAATGCAAAAGCTTTTTTTTTCTACAAGCAATCATTACATCATATTCCAAGAAATAAAATTAATTTACATATTTTTTGCTCCTTTCAGTCCGCAGGCTGTCGTGAAAATGAAATTTAAAAAGGTATTCATAATGTATTTTGATCCCGATCAATATTTTAAAGCGCAATTAAGACTTGAATTGGCCAATCGGTCGATTAACCTAGTCAAACTGGCAGTCCTATTTTACTTTTATTTTCAAACATTAAAAGTCCTTACAACATGATGCTTTTTATTATCTTAAAAGTCTATCATTAATACTAGTTAACTTGCTTTTGAGAGCGAGGCTCAAGTTTTATCCCCAAAAGACTCTTGAAAACGATTGGCTAGGGATTGAGCTCACTATCGCTCTAGGTTTTCCTACTTGTTTACTTATGCACTGGGCACTTTCCGCGATTACTACTCATTATTATGTCTGGCTGCCTTCGACGGTATCTCCGACATCAGGGTCGCAGATTCTCTCTCTCTCTCTCTCGATGCCGACGCGATGGGGTTTTCCATTTTGGAACTTTCTCGGCGACCGAAAGATTTAGGGCAGGCGATATTGGCAACTTCCGGCTCTGCAATTATCATCATTTTCTCACACACGTAATTCGCCGATGATTCCGGTCGTTGATTTATTTATTTCGGCACCTGTCCGTACCAAATAAAGGAAGCGTCTTCCTTGTCTCGTGATTCCGAACTGGCGCCGAGAAGGTTTAGTCAACGATGGGATGATTGGATACCTAATTTACTGCAGGTGATAATGACTCGTCCAAAACGCTCTCGAGTGAACGGTGTGCACATATTTCGTCGTGATGTTCTGCAAAAATAACGCTGGCTGAAACGGAGCAAAAATGCACCCAAGCGAATCGGCTTACAAGGACGAAGATTTCCGGCTCCCAGGCGCATTGGTGCATCAAGGAGTTCGCTATCCTCCCCTCCCCAAAAAAAGATTCATAAATAAATAAATAATCATAATCATAATAATTTAAAAATAAATAAAGAAAAAAGATTCCTTAATGTTACCCATGCTAATCCTCTTTCAATATGATGGCGGGGGAAGTAGGTGAAAACGTTCTATTCTTCTCCCCCTCCCCTCCCCACCCCCTCTCCCTCTCACCCATTCAGGAAGTTTGACGTGCCCAAGCGCACGCTTTCTCTCCCTTGCTCTTTTTCTGGGTGTTTAAAGATCCGGAGTCCCTCAGAGCCCACTGTTGGTTTGCCATCTGGGCTCGATTAAAGAAATACAATACTTTCCTTAAATATAGGCAGATGTCTCTGAGCCCACACCATTCAAACTGATTAACTTCCGCCGTAGACAATAAAGAGGCGACCTCGTTTCAACTTATCGCGAGGGGATTCCTTGGAAATATTTGCACCCTTCACCCATAGATTCTCAGCCAAGAAGTCTAGAAAAAAAGGACCAGCAGAAGGCAGCGTTTAAGGTCCGCTGCAGTGGGATGGCAGCTGTCAGCGCCACCTCCAATGAACTGCAAAGGTCAACAGAGATTTCATAACGTCGACCTGAAGTCCAAGCGACTATCGATTGACCGAGACTTCGAGCTTCAACTCGATGGCAGAGCGACGAACCGTTTCTTAAGCGAATCGAGGTGAGAAGTGGAGTGGATGAATTTGCAGGGTGAAGAGGAAGGTGCGAGAAGGATTGAAGGACGACCGGCCCAGTTGCCGTGCGTTGAACCCCCCACTCTCGCTTTCAACCGGTGAACTCCAAGGCCCTACTTTCTTCCTCTCTTTCCCCTTCGTTCTTCTTCTTCTTCTTTACCGTTATCCGCAGGGGACACACGCACACACGTTTCCCTTCCTCGCCATCTAGCCTACATTCTTCCCCCGGCTTCTGTTGTTTCCAGTCCTTCTTGCTTTTCCCCCCACCCTTCGTCTACATCTCGCTTTTGTGCCAACTTCATCTCGTTTACTCTTTATTTTAGAAAACGTATTGTGGAGGGAGTGCGGGTTCGATTCGCGTCTCCCTCGATCCTCATATCTCGCGATCGGTCGCCGTTACAAAGATTACATCTCCAAACTTCAATTTTCCTCCAAAGATATTAATAAACGATTAAAAAAAAGATGACTGGATGAGAAAAAGATGGAGGGAGGGATAGAGGGAAAGGTTAGGGTCGGTCAATGGGCAACTTACCCGTTCTGTCTGCCCTGCCGGCGATGCCATGCAACGGGATGGAACAGTTATGCCCTGTGGCCATGCTTCCCCCTTCCCCTTCCACAGGCTCCCCGATCCTCCCCCTTCTCATGTATATCCGTTCCCCGACACGGTTAACCCTCGTGATAAAACCGGTGAAGTCGAGGTTGTGGGAATCTTGGATGTCCTTCCGTTGCATTAGTTTGGTCGATGACGACCGAGCGAAAACGTGCGATGCAGGAAGGAGAGATGAAAAGTTAAGGTGAACGACCTGGACCGGAGAAATGAAGTTCAGGGGAGATAAGCTCATAAACAAGACAGGTGCAGATCCGAGATCAACATGCAGATCCCGTTACGTGGCAGCCGGGCGGGGGGAATTGGATGAATTTCTCCCTCGCCTCGCTGCTTTTCCTCCTCCTCCCTCTCACTTTTTACCTCTCCAGTTTCTCACTTGTCAATTTGTTTGCTTTTTCCCTTTATGGCCCAAACAAACGATGACTGCGTGATGATCGTCAACTGTAGTGGCCCGAAAACGCCGGAGATGCTCCTCGATCAAGTGGCGAAAGAGTGGAAAGTAACGCTACCCATTTTATCCTTACTTAATATCACCCTATAAAAGCGCGCACAAAATCCAAGTATCCGAGGACGCCCT